ATTTAATTTAATAAATCTGATATAATAGTAGTTAAATTCAATAGATAACAGATTTAATCCAGTAAAAGGATGAATAAAGGATAAACCTCTCAGCGTCGATCAATCCCTGAGGCATGCGCCATGCATTTGACTCCACTAAGCATCGTTTGGAGGTAATTGAATGCATATCTGGCCTTTACAATAACCCGCGGTAGCCTACCGATGTATCGAGTCAGTGCTGCTATCCTCCCAGACAAGTCTGATGCCAATTTGCCTGCCCTGAAGGGATGGAAGGCCTGCTAGGCTATGGGCGTGGGGATCGGTTCCACGTGTATGTTACAGGGTGTCTCCGACCACTGCGCCACACGCGCCCTTAATAGATAATTTAATCCAACAAATTCAAACAAATAAAAAATTAGCTAATTTTAGGAAATATTCTTCATTAACTTCGTGTTAACTGGTCAATAGAAGAGTGCATGTTGATTAGCCATGCCAAGGTTGAACGAAAGTAGTTATTGAAATATTGCTACACCTGCAAAATTTAGAACGAGATTAGAAATCATTCAGCGTTAACGAATATGGGGACGATGATGCTGCTGGTTCTTATATCACATAGGTGAGAGAGACAATTCGAGCTCTAAATCAATGTTGACGATCGGAAATCCGCAATGCTGCCGCGTAGCCCAAATGCGTGAAGGTGCAGCATGTGCTTCCTCGCCCACTAACGACAGCTGCTGGATAGGAATCCTCTTCGAGCACCGTTCACAGAGTGTCATGCGCATAACAGACGAGCAGCCACTAGACAAGCAGGGTCCTTCACTACGCCCTTAAAGGAGGAGACGTGCTAGGTTGCAAGCGCTTTGCATAGAGGGATCTATTAATGCATTATGGAGTGCGACACCGGCGACTAGAGCGTTGTCCATCCTTTCCGTAGCACCTCAGCCACTTTTCCAATCATTCTATAGCTTAATATTGAAATTTATTATTTGCCTAATACGAATTTCACTTTCCATTTACATGTTTTTGTTTTACCATGCTCCAGTCTGTTGTGAGGATGATTGCCACTGTCAGCGCTTTTCGTGCAATTCCGTCGCACTCATTCGTCATCTGTGGAGAACTATGCCCGCTGACGCCTCGAAAGCTGACAAGATGAAAAAACATGGTTCACCTTCCACTTTTCAGAACACGTTTTGAATGGATATTCAGCACGATTGGCTAACTCTATGGGACCTTGGTATATGCATAAGAGGAAATTTTCGCTATAGAGTTTCCAACTTTGAGCTTGATATAGTAATGCTGCTTCAGTACTATGCTGCTGTGGAATTTGATGAATCAAGGCACTGGATGTGGTAAGATTCCTTGTTTAGCTCCAAATCTTCCTTGTATGATTCAAGACCAAACAGTGGAAATATTGAGGAATTTGAAATCTTAGATGGGCTTCGAACTCGCGATTACTCTTTCTGGGGGTTCACGTGCTATCGACCACACCAACGGAGGCCTTTGCTTTGATTTTCTCTCAGCCAGTTTTACACTAATGGTGCTATCAATAGAGCGGAGAAAAGAATAAGCAGCAAGTAGAGGTTAGAAATTGTGATTTCGACCGCAGTCTCAAATTAACTGGGCTGGTTCAATGCCGGCTGGCTGGATCATTCTTGTTGAGAGATGATTACTGAGGGGACTGTTACGGTAAAAAACTGGCTAAGAGAAAAGCAGAATGAGGGCCTCGATGGTGCAATGGGTAGCACGTGAGCTCTCGGAAAGGGTAATCACGAGTTCGAAGCTGGCCTAGGGTCCATGTTTTGCAAATATCTCGGCATCATTATAGTTGTATTTCACATAATATCCTCCCATTGAAAGAAATAATAGCCATCTAATAAGAGGTTAGAGGTACAACTGTTTAACATTGCTGCGGTATCCCACATGTTTTCTTTGAATACCCTGCGTATTTGTTATGGAATGAAGAATATTGTAGTTCTGACTGTATCAGGTAGATATTATGTATGATACTATACTATAATACTTTACATATATTAGTCTAGATTAGTGATAAATCGGAAATACTATGTGGACAGGATTAATGAACTTCTAGCTCGCTCACAGATAGTACTTTTGCTAAGTACTACACAACTGTACCACAACCACAACGATGCTGAGATCATTTGCAAAAATGGGGACCGCGGGTGTCTGCTGATGGGAACGAATGCGCTGTCACCCTTCCCGAGGGTTAATGCGTTCACCACTAAACCATAGAGGTCCTTGGTTTCGCTTTCTCTCAGCTGGTTTTCTGTAGCTAGGAGCTAGAAAATTTGTGTGGGCAGTCAATAAAAGAGTAGCATTGTGCACACAGTTTTCGGGGAAGCTGTTAACTATGGGAAGGAAATTGGTCAAATGCAAAGTGTGAAGTCTAGTTTAAAGTGATTATGATCAAAATGTGAGGGAACACCCATTGGATCCACCCACCCAGTACTGGATGTAGGGCATTGGAATTCCATGTATACATACGTATGTTATGAACTGTAGATTGTACACGGCGTGTTTCTGAGAACAATTTCCAACACGTCAGTGATCGTTGTACTGGAAAGACTTCATAGCTGTTTACGGAAACAAACCTTGTTGAAGCATTAATGAAGAATGCATATCTGCGAACGCCTAACCACTCTGAAGAAATATTCTCGATGATCTGTCGTCTTATCTTAGCGAAAAACTCTCTGTAACTCCCGAATCCCAGTGCTTAAGTAGAGGTGTTTCTACGCTCCCTCACTGGCCTAACTCTATTGTCCGTCGCCTACGAAATAAACTCGTCCAAAAGGTTCTTTGTCAATTATTGAGAGATTATTAGTAGAACGCTCTTGCCTAGCACAATATCTGTGTTGGATAAGTCACCGATCGATTACAAGGAATCTTGGGAAAACTTTTGTGCACCAAAGTAAACGCCGAAGAGAATATGAAGCTTATAGGTGTCACACCGTCCACTCTCCACTCTCGTAAACGTATCATAGTAATCGTTACTGGTTGATGGAGTGTTGTATTATATTATATTGTTGTATTGTTATATACCTACCTTATAAACAGCAGGAGTGTCGCTGTCAAACAGTGTGCAATGGGTGTAGTCCGACATCCACGGATTTGTGCACAGCACTTTCGCATTGGATAACCATGTTAGACGTCATATTTGGTGATATGTTCATAGTCAGATACGTCGATTTAGACGGCGGGGGATTCTAGAGGTGTTCGCGACTGTTTTGCGACTCGGAATCGCTTCGGTTAGTTATGTTATGAACTATTTCAATCGAATCCCTTTTCCATACGAACCGGAGTTATGAAGTAAATGCAAGTGTCTCTCTTTTGTCGCTGGTGAATGTCTTGTATGGCTTTAGCACTGTAGTAAATCGTAGTTCATGAAGAAATTGATGCGGGTCGTGCAATCATGATTCCAGATGTGTACCATAAGAATTTCACTAGCTGTAGCTGTAGAACAAGTCACATCAGTAGGAGTCTTCGTTTCAAGTTAATTATTCGCTAGTGTCACAATTTGAATGTTTTATGTTTAGAAGGGTTTATCGGATAGAGGGTGACGATTTAGGATCCAGTCGAAGCCGTATTGTTGCTTATACCATCCTTCGGAGGCTTGCTAATGAAACTAAATGGAGAGGTATAGTTCGTCCACTTTTTTGAAAAGTGTGGGATTGTTTTTGGAATATTCAACGATTCATTTCCAATACCAAGATCCACCACCGTCCTGGTATCAAACTAGTCACATGTTGGCAAATCTCCCTCCAGTCCACAAGTGCGATGGCTGCTTGTGGTGATGAAGACCTGTGGCAGACTTTGACCAAGCTTCCTTCAGGGCTCCAAGCAACCACAATGGTTAAACCAGCAAAACTACGAAAAAATACGAGTTTTATGCTAGGGCCTACAGAACCAATGAAAACGGACTATCCAAATAAGTATATTCGACGATTATTAGTCACTACTCTAAAAACGAATAAGGTATAAATACATTTCTGTGTAACATTTAAAGATCTAGGTACTGCCTATCAAAGTAACATGCCTTGACATTTCGGGAATGTAGTGGTGACTCTTGAATTAGAGCTGTGGCTTATTTTGGTCAAAACCTACCTGACTTCGTAAAGAACGTTTGTTTTATGCTGGTGTACATCTACTAAGATATACCTCGAATCAGAATCGTAGTTGGTGTAATATTAATGTTGGATTTGGTAGTAGTGTTCTAAATTCCAGTGAGTCATGATAATTTTTAGGCGTCCAAGCTTCACGGTTTCCAGTTGGACTCCAAAATCTACTTGCTGATCCACAGAGTAGAATTTTGAACCAAAAATGTTTTGCTTTCGTTGCTGATCCTTTCTACCTTCCGCCATCCGGTAATTTCTATATAAATAACTGATCTTGTTCCTTTCTAAATTTTGTTATTTTATTTTATGTTTGACATTGTGTTCTACTTGAATTTCAAAATGTTTTTCCTGTCTTCACGTTGTTGTAACAATCCATTGAAACTATAGATTCGTTCCAATTCTCTTTGTCTTTAGGACGATGTACTTTATTTATCAACACTTCAGTTTACATCTTCAAAATGAAAGGGCTTTGTGGTACCTTTGCTGTCATAGTGTCATGTATACAGCCAAAGGTGCGCAGTCCTTTGCCAGGCTGTTCCGTTTTATATCGTTTTGCTATAAATGAATTTTTAAGCTTCTATTAAAGCAGGAGACGTAGAGAGGTGTCTACTTAAGCCCTCCTTGTGAACAAACTGCTACTATGGTTCTGCTTCTCATATGAATTCGACGAAGAATATCGTTAGTCAGTTTGATGTCAACATGTTAACATTTGGATAAATTGTTGAAGTGTTCATTAACCCATCCAGTTATTGCTTGTACGGTTATATCTACACTTACTGCGCTGTGAATCTTCTTATCGCTGGTTTGTAAAGGTGAATTTCTCTGCAATCAAACATTGTGGTGAATTTCGTTTTTTCTGCTTGTTTTAAAGAACTTTGCTCGGTAGCATTCATGTCTGCTGAAAGAGTAGGGTTCCTTGCAGAAAAGGAACTTCAGTCACATTTCGAGTTTTGCAGCGACAAGGTAAAAATTTTGCTTCATTACTACATCTTTTAGTTCGGAACATTCGGAATTTCTGTTTTAAGGCCACTGAAATATCGCGTTTAACACGCATCACAAACGCCATGTGTAATGGTGACGTTACCGACGAAGTGCTAGAGGTGTGTCCGGAGCTGGCACCTGCGTTTAAAGAGTTTAGAAAGCTCAAGTATCGCAAGATTATCCTTGAGAGGGTAGGAACGTGAGAACAGTTGCGAGCCTTCCTCTTTTCCAGCACTATAGTCATTCTTAATGTTTAGGCTTTGAAGGAACAACTTGATTCAAACAAAGCGGCCGGATGTTCATTATCAAGTGACACCACAACTCAGGGCAAAGGTAGAGGTCGTTTTAACGACAATAATGGTGTTTCTAATACCAACAACAAAAGCAAAGGAAATTCGACAATGAGGTAGAGAAATATATCTTTGAAAAAGTGGAGTATATTCATTGCAGTGTTGTTTTGGAATGGACGTACGCGCCCAGCATAACTGAAAAACTTACAGTAATTCGCCTTCTAATGCGAAGAAATACAACTATGTCACCGTTCAGGACTATGGCTCTAGTATATTGGGTAGACTCAGTGATATCTTCAAAACAGCTATAGTAGAGGTTTCTTGCCCTGTTTTTTATCAAATGCCTCGTTATTTTCACTGGTATAAGTTGGAACATGTATTTTTCTTGTTATTTCCGGCGGACAAAGAGCAGAACCACTATTTAGGCGTTTCCTTCCATTGATGAGGTTGCAGTGTCTTTGACGGAAACGACCAACCCCAAGTTTGGTGACTATCAGTGCAACTCCGCGATGGCGATCTCAGCGGTTTGTAGATGAAGAAATTGTGTCTTCTCCTTTTAGTGGTATTTTCCAGAAACTGAAAGCGACTGGTATTGTTATGCGACCGTCCGAGGTTGCGACCGAAATTAAATCGAAAGTTTCAGCTTGTGATTTAGTGGAGAAGGTATGATTTCGTTGGCTTTACATTGGTAACTGTACGTGTAATATACTGGCAAGTAATTTTAGATCGAGGTCGTGCCTGCAGGTTACGTTAACATTTTTTTGAACAGGCTGTTCATCGAGAAACAAATAAGGGATATCGCATTGAAAGTAATTCAGATTTCTTTATTAAAGCTTTCATTTATCCGCAATGATAAATCTCCTGTACTTTTTAATTTTTTAGAAAACTTTCTGGGTAAGCTTTGCCTGTGTTTAACTGTCTTTCCGGAAAACTAATTTATTAGAAGTCCGAAATAAAAGTGAATTTTCGGTTTACAGAGACTAGTTTACTGTTGCACTGTTTCTTGTTTGAGGGTGTTCAACTTCCTCAACTACTGAAAAGGAAGGTGGTTGTTGATTTTTCGTCTCCTAACATCGCGAAGGAGATGCATGTGGGCCACCTTCGCTCAACGATCATTGGCGATTCGATTAGTCGTTTACTGGAAACAGTTGGCTTTGACGTGAGTACCAAATAGGGTACAAGTGCTGTCGATGCATTAACGTGCAGAGTTCTTTTTATTGTTCTTAATCATCAAAAATTTCGCTTCTTGGGTTATGGTCCTCATTGTAAATATTGTTTTATAGGTTTTGCGAGTTAATCATATTGGTGACTGGGGAACACAGTTCGGAATGTTGATTGCACACCTCTATGATAAATATCCTGATTTCTTAAGTCAGCCACCTCCTATTAGTGACTTACAGGCGTTCTACAAGGTAATAAGATTTTGTTGTGAAACACTTCCGTTTTGAACCAAACTCACACGTTTTTTAGGAATCCAAGAAACGTTTCGATGAAGATGCAGAATTCAAACGACGAGCATATGATTTTGTGGTAAAATTGCAAAACTACAATGCTGAAATCATAGGAGCATGGACTTTGATCTGCAACATTTCGAAGAAATGTGAGTGTTTTCAAATTCGTCCTTAAGAAAATTGATTTGCCAATTCCTCTTATGATTGTTCATAGGAAGTTTCTTCTTGTTTCAGATAATCAGATGGTTTACAAAAGGCTCGATATTGTGGCCGAAGATGTTGGTGAATCGTTCTACCAGAAAATGATGGTTGAATTAGTTCACGATCTGAAGAAGACGCGTATGTTTTATTGTATGAACTGACTTATTCTCTTAAAGAAATAATGTAGACGCTTATTTTTTTTGTTATTCTGCTATATATTTATACCTTTATTCTTTAGAGTTGGATAGTATTCGAGAAGAAGAAGGTCGTCTTCTGTATTTTCCAGTGGATTGCGAGGTGCCGCTTACAATTGTCAAGAGTGATGGAGGTTTATGACTTTTGCTCACATTTTGTACCTGTTTTGCAATTACACCTCATATAGAAGGGGTGCATTAGCGGAGTGGTCGGAGGCGGCCAACAATGCACATGGGATCGATCTCCGCGCCTAAGGTCCACTAAGCCCTCCATTCTCCGGGATCGGCAAATTAGTACTAAACTTGCCTGGGAAGATAGCAGCATTGGGTCGATAAATCGGTAGGCCACCGCGAGTCATTGTAAAGGCCAGATATGCATTCAATCATCTTCAGCAATGATTAGTGAAGCCGAATGCTTGATGTACTCCACAGGAGTAGGTCAACGCCTAGAGCTTTATCCTTTTTTATAGAACTTGAACATATACTCAAAGACAACTGTGTTATTTATAGTTTTTGTCTGAGCTAATGTAATTTTTCTTTAAACTGTTTAGGCTACACTTACGATACATCTGATATGGCAGCTTTGCGTTATCGGCTTCACACTATGAATGCTGATTGGATAATCTACGTCGTGGATGCAGGCCAAAGTTTACATTTTGAAGTAAATAGCGCATTATCCGAACCATTATTGCTGCATTGTGGCGTAATAGGATTTTCTAGACTGTTTTTGCCGCGGCTCGTGAGCTTGGCTGGTATGATGAATCGAAACAACGGGTGGTACATGTGCCGTTTGGCCTTGTGCTTGGAGAAGATAGGTTAGCTCATAGTCGTTTTGTTTATGGAAATCGTCGACCTCTTGCTATAACAATACCATGCTTTTTGATTCATTTTCTTGGCCATTTTTTTGTCGCTACCAATGAAAACCTCCTTTACTTTGTACTATGCACTCACTTTCAATGCGATTGTTTTGCCTTTCATACTCCGTCCTTTTTTCTCTTACTGAGGTACGTGTGGCGCAGTGCTCAAAGGTGCTTTTTAATAGGCACTGATCTTGTTCGATTCCGCTCCGTGTTTTCACTAACTCTTCCATCTCTCCGCTGTCCTAAAATTGATGCCATGTTTGTGTGGGAAGATAGCAGCTTGATGTCGTCGAATGCATGACATGTGCTTTAGGAATAGATTAAAGGCGAACGCTTTATTCTTTTTTATCCTTTAGTTTGTTACTACTCCAGATGAAAAACACAGCATCTCTTCTTTATGCTTGATTGGTTTGTTTTTCTATTAAAAATTTTGCACCGTTCAAGTTTATGTTTGAAGTCGATGGTGCTCATTCTTCTCACCTCTACTTAATCACCAGATTTGATCCTTTGTTAATGGAAAGTAACTATGTAGTCGTGTCGTATTATTGGATCGCTAGCATTTTTTTTCTACTGCTCATTGCACCCAATAGATTTGATATTAAGATTTTTCCCGAACTGAGCTTTATTGTTATCCTTGGGTATGCGTCGTATTCGCAATCCAACGTTATTGTCTATTCCTGAATATGTACTACTTTTTCTTTGTGTTGCTTTTAGTTGGCTGTTTTTTAAAATACGTTATTCTATATTAGACGCAGCCATCGTGTTCTCATATAAATTGTCACTTTTTTTAGAAAGAAGTTTAAAACAAGATCAGGCGAAACTGTTCGTCTCTTAGATCTTCTCGATGAAGGACTAAAACGCGCATCAGCTAAATTAGACGAAAAAGGGCGAGCTGAGGTATGTTTACTTTTCGTTTTCCATTGTGTAAGAAGTAGTTGTTGTGTTGGTGAGTCTTACTTGGATGCACTGGCTCACCCATGTTTCGTTTAGAAATTCTGTAAAATAGTGTTAATTCACCTTTAAAAATAGCTTAAGTTACCTAATTGACCTAGTTGATTGACAGTTTTGTTCCGAGGATCGACTTTCTATAAACATCGGCATTGGATTATAAATCTGTCGTTTTCTTTCTCAGCAATCGCGAGGTTGTTAAACAGCATACATTTACTTCCACACAACAACACACATACAACACAATCGTAGCTGACGTTTCGGCAGTATAGCCTTCTTCAGAGCCGTTTTTTACGTGTCTTCCATTGAAGAAAAACCACTGGCGGCTGGGCAGTCATCAACCATATGCGACGCTGATCAATGGCTCTTCCACAGTGGAAGGTGCGTAAAAAATGCCTCTGAAGAAGGCGGTACTGCCGAAGCCCAAATTTGCAATGGCGGAGGCTCTATTGATTTCGCAGCAGTGCTTTCCTAGCGCTTGAATACTCACATGGACGTTTGAACAAAAGTGGTGCAAAGCCGAGCACGGTTTCTACTTGAGTGCTAAACTGCTGGTCCTGCAAAGTTTCCCTTAACTGGATTATCGACATGGCCGTGTTACGGCTTTCCCGTATCTTCATCACGGTTCCTTGCCTGCCTTTTTGGATCCGAGGAAGATTCTTCCCTTGGGATTAATTTGATGCTAAAACGGTGGTGATTTCTGATATTGATTTAGACTTATATGGGTTTGTGGATAGGAACGTCGATTTCTTCAGTTTGAAAAACCTTGGTGGTAATGGGATTCTAATCTTGATCACAGTTTAATGCCCAGGAGCATCTCGCTAATTACTATGAAACGGTAAATCTTTGGTTTTGAGGGATGTTGCAGCTCAGTAAAAAAATTGGGGAGTATTCGATTCCACTTCTCTAATGTTGTGGATAGCAATTGTTTGTTATAACGATGTTCTATTTCCAGGTAATGGATGAGAAAGAACTAGCAGCTGCACGTGACGCTGTTGCTTACGGATGTATTAAATACTCAGACTTATCTCATACTCGAACTCAGGATTATGTGTTTTCTTTTGATCGAATGCTTGATGACAAGGGAAACACAGCTGTGTACCTTCTATATGCATATGCCAGAATAAGGTAAATGTTGTAATACAGAAATTGTTTTGTTATTGTCGCTATTTTCTATCGACAACTGTCTCCAATCTATGGACTTGTATAGGGTTATACTTAGTGCTTTAGGTGTGTGAAATGAAAACTTTGTTAACCTTTCATTTGCTGCCTGCTATAATTTGACGGTGATTGCTGATGGCAGGGTTAGGTAGAAAACTAGCTGAGAGAAACACAAAGTAAGGGCTTCAGTGGCGCAGTGTGTAATACGCGAGCCCTTGGAAAGGGTAGTCGTGGTTCGTTCTAGCCTGTGGTCCAAGTTTTGCGTATCTCTCAGCGTTTTGGTTGAGAACTTTGTGTTCAGATGATTCATTTCGTGTTATATTTTAACTTTTGGTATTTAGTGGAATGGTGTAATAGTTAAGGGGCGGATAGCACAGTGGTAGTGATGTCTGTCATCTTGAGCATAGTGTTAGTTCGATTTCGCTCTGGGTCAGCCAGGCCTCTCATCCCTCCGGGGTCGGGATATCGATACCGGACTTGTCTGGGAAAAAACCACTCTTCAATCCTATTGGGAACGCTCTAGCCAGGTTATCTCAGGACTCCAGGGAGATTTGCTCGACCGGCTCCTGAAGCAGCAACCAAAGCCACACGAAAAGTTGGAAGATCTTCGATGACAATGGATGCGAGGAAACGATCCGATAATGAGAATTGCTGGGATCAGCACAGTAGACGTAAAGACGGGTCATATAAGTAAATAAATGTTCCCAGGTCGACTTTCTCTTAACCTCGGCATTGGAATATGAATGTGTCGTTTTCTTGTTCAGCAATCGCAAGGTTTTTAAACAGCATACATTTACTTCCATAGAAAAACACAATACAATACAACGCTAGCTGACGTTTCGGCAGTATTGCCTTCTTCAGAGCCGCTTTTTCGTGACTTCCAATGAGGAAGTTTAGAACAGTTGATTATAGTCGCATATGGTTGACGACTGCACCATCCCACCTAAATAAATAGTTAATGTTTTTAATAGTCTGTATCTATATCCACTCAAAAAGACTTATAATACTTGTGGTTGTGGATTACCACAGTTCCTTTCAGAATGTCTGCTTAGATATTATTAAGTGGTGGGCAATAGCAACGAATATAGGCAATGAATTTACTCCCTATCAACCGCTGTGGTTTTCTTAGTGAATTAAATAGTCGACAGAAAATTATGACAATAAAATGTTTCGCTCATCTTCAAATTCCTATTTGCTTATCGCAGATCCATTGTCCGAACCTCCGGTGTCGATGCTCAAGCTATTAGAGACTTCGTCTTGCGCACACCTGCTATTCCAATTACTCATTCCGCGGAGCTGAAACTTTCAAAACAAATCCTGAAACTATCCGACTGCATTCTACAAGTGCTTGACTCACTGATGCCCCATCAGGTGTTGTTGATTGCGAATTTCTTCACAACCACTTAACGATTAACAATTTGTTGATTATACATATGGTTACAATTGCAGCTCTGTGACTACCTGTACCAACTTGCTACCACATTCCACGATTTTTACAGTATGTGTTATGTAATCGAAAAGAATCAGAGTAAGTGTATAATAATAATCATGAATCTAGAAGCACCGTATTTTAACAAATAGTAATCCAATGGGAAGATTGCGATGGGCTCGTAGCAGAGCGGTTAGTGCTCGCTGGAATACAACAGGGTCATTGATTCCATTTTGTGCCCCGAGCCAACTAAACTAAACCGTCCAGATCGGGAAATTGACATCAAACTTTTTAGAAGATTTAAAACACTGGCTTAATACATAGGTATGTCATCGCAAAATCACTGTAAATGCCAAAAATGCGTTCAATTACTTACTTACTTGGATACTTGGACGGTTCGTCTTCACGAGCTGTGTGGACCCCAGCACATATGCCATTCGTTCCTTTCTCTCGCAATCGCAGTCCATGGTGGTCTTGTTCGAGCATGGTAGCGCTTGCGAGTCTCATACAGTGATCTGTAAAACAACTGCAGCTGCGGGTACAGCGGATTAACTTTGCTTACGAACGCGTCCGCCCAACGTGTAGGTTGTCGTCCAAGGGGACGTTTGCATTCTCTTGGAGTCCACTCTACTGTTCTTTTCATCCATCTGTCGTCTGTTCTTCTCATTATGTGACCGGCCCATCTATGTTTCCCTGTCGATGTATATTCTCCTGGATCTCGAAGATGTGACAGATTTTGAAGGTCAGAGCTTCGAATTCCGGCTACATATTGAGAGTGCCGGTTATATTTCAGAAAACATCGCCCAAGCGCTCTGTGAGTAGTTCGAAGCACTTTTGACGTAGTTGAAATATCAATCCAAGTCTCTGCAGCATAACAGAGCGCTGGGAGTACCGTGAAATCGAAGAGATGAGTGCGTTGAGCTCGTTGATCATTACCTCTGCATTCGTTTCGACACTGTCAAACGCTTTCTTATAGTCGACAAAGGTTAGAACAAAAGGCAAATAGTATTCCCGACAAATTTCGATGACCCTGGATACGGTTTGGATGTGGTCCTTTTCGAAATCCTGCTTTCTCGACTGGTTGCGCCTCATCCAATGTCCCTGATATGCGCGAGAGGATAATCTTAGTGAAGAGCTTGTAGAGTACACCTAAAAAGCATATGGTACGATAGTTACGAAGATCCCTTCGGTCTCCTTTCTTGGGCAGGGTGACCGTGCGCGACGTCCCCCACTGGTGTGCGATTTTTTCCTTTTGAAAGTAGGCTGTTATATCATTTGCGAGAAGTACATGTAAATTGTAGCTTCCAGCTGTAAGGAAGTCGGCGGTAGTATTATCGGTTCCTGGAGCTGTGCCTCTTCATGCTTTCTATCGCAACTCGAACCTCCGACGGAAGAATTCCACGTGGTTTTTCTCTAACGGGAATATTAGGGCCCGGGACGGTGATTGTGGAACGGAAAAGGTTGGTGTAGAACGTTTCCGCTATTAATTCCATATCATGGCGGGAAATGTTGACGATTCCATCATCGTTCATCAGGAGTGACAGCGGAACATTATAATCACACAACTCCCGACGGCATTTTTTCAGAGTGCTTACTGCTTCCAGTATTTTCTTCTGCTTTTACCGTTGTAGATCTTCCTGCAAAGCTCTTCTGCAGCTGGCATTTGTTACTAGCGATGTTAAACGTGTTACAGTAGGATCAAGCTTCAGTTTCCTTCTCTTTTCGAGTAACTCTTTAGTAGTGATGGAGATCCGATCCGGTCTTCTTGTTTGAGAAAATGAGGCGAATTTGGTACAGCTTTTCAATCCTTCGATAAGCAGCTCGTAGTTTTCGGTCGGTTCTTCTTTAATCTGCCAGTCACGTTTGGATAGGACTTCGTTCAGAATGTTCTCGTCGTATGCAGCTAGACTTTTTCCTCGTGGTCGATGAAGAGAGTTCTTTTCCAGCTTGCGGCTGAATCGAATCTTCGCGCGAAGTAGGCTGTGATCGGAACCAGTACATAATGACGGGACTACCGATGTGTCAAGCAGGCACCATCTTCTGTTTGTCAGAATACGGTCGATCATGCGGTTGGGAGACTCCCATGTCCAGCGGCGGTTTTCTTTCTTCTGGAAAAACGAGTTTCCATGAAAGAGACGTGCTGATGACAGGAGTCCTGCGAGACGGTTCCCATTTTCTATTCTCTCTCCTAATCCAGAATTTCCGATCCTGTATTCACTCTCGTTGGCCTTTCCTATTCTGGCGTTGAAGTCTCCAACAACAAATTTATGTATGCTTTATCATTGCGGATGACTTCCTCCAACTGACAATAGAACACACTTAATTTGTACTCATCAGCTGCGTCGGTCAGTGAGTAGCAGTTGATGATAGTGATCGTCTTATGATGCGACAGTTAAAGACGGAGGACGGCTATGCAAGGGGAAAGGATCACGCATGAGTCGACGAGATGTGCAATGGACGGGTGGACGACAAAACCTACACCACCGATATTTCGTGATGGGACCTTTTCTCCACGGATCACAAGGGTCCCGTTGTTTAGTTGGCGTATGTCGGTCTTGTTTATTTTTGTTTCTTGTAATGCAATCACATGAAATTTAATACGATCTGCGGCTACAAGAAGGGTGTGAAGATCGGCGTCTGTGGAGAGTGTTCTGGCATTACATGTGCATAGAAAGAAACAATCTCCATGGCGTGTCGTGCGTGTGTTCGTCAGACCCGGTTCCAATGACGTCCTGCGTAACCCGAGATTGTCTGGCCTCTCACCGGTCCACCGCCTGACGTCACAGACGGGAGCACCCAGTGTGCGGGGTACTGAGGCTGGCCTATTGCTGGTCGTGCAACTTGGTCCTCCCTGGAGTCTTGACGTAACCTTGCAAGGACGTATCCAGCTCTTCACCACGATGTGAATCAGGGGAGGTGTGTTTTTGGCGGCGAATCCTTCGCTCGGTCTTCCTACTAGTTGATTCCGAGAGATGTTAAAAGCGAAATCGGAAACGAAATTGGGAATGTGAAGGTAACCGACCGCTGAAGAACGATGTAGAAGCCGAATGCATTTATTTAATTATCTGAAATTGGATGGGGTCGAATCCATGGCGCATGTCTCAAGGATTGATCATTGCATAAAGCTTCATGTTTAACTCTTCGTTGAGCATGTGTGTCGTATGCGACGTATCTTTTTTCAGGTTTTTTTTGTCTCGTAGATTTCTATCAGTGACACTTTTTGTATTGAATCTATAGTTCCCCAAAATGTTAGGTCAGATATGATCCATAAAAATTTCTTTTTGTGTACCATAGTTTGCACTTCGTTGGTTCATCACTAGTTAGCACTGTCCATTCTTTTCCGTGGAATAGGAAGCTGTTCACAGAGTGCATTACGAATCGATAACGTTTCGACACAGTATAGTTTTCTAGCCGATCAGTTATAGAAGTCTTATTCTCAACTGTCCACTTCTTTCTTCTCAGTTATTATAAGCACGGTAGTGAGAAGAAGTTATGCGGTCCATACCTTACACTTCTTACGGTTATAATCGAAATAATCCAAGTAGAAATACCTCATGCGTTTGCTATATGTAGTTGGTGCTCCTGCTAGTATATTTTGTAGTAGTTGTTGGACTCTTGTTATTTCTAATTTGTTGTGGTATCTAATATCTAAAAATCTAAAATTTGTGGTAGCGCGAATTTGTTTTTGGTAATGAGCCAGTATCTATCTTCCAGGACATGATGGTTGATAGTGTCCCATTATATTTCGTGGGCATCATAGTAGATGATTTTGGCCCTTCATTTGACCTTTTTTCTTCACTGGATCTAGATCTTTCCTATTTATTTGCTCTTTATAGTTAAGCTGATCTTTACCTGGATTAACTTCTTGACAACGAAACGGTTGAATAACAAAAATTGTTGTCTATGTGCTTTCGTCCAATAATTCATTCATGGGCCTCAGCTACTGACACATGCCCATCAGTAGTTTCAAAGGCATCTTTTCCGGGATATATTACGTAAAAATTCTATATTTAGCCCCGCGTTTAGTGCACAATTTGAATAACTTTATCTCATGCTCGTGCTTCCTTGTTGGGATATGTGGGCAGAATATATTATTATTTCTTAATGGCGCGAGATACTCGCCAGTACAGATGTCTTGCCAGGCCTGTTGATTTTCTGCTTATTTTGACTATTACTGTTATGGTGGCAAATCTCCTGCCTGTGGTGATGACGACCTGGGACAGACTTTGACCAGCCTGACCTCGAGACACTAGGAAACACCATGGCTAAACCAGCAAAACTCCGAAAAATGGAGATTATGCTGGGACTCGCACAACCAGTGATGACGGGCCGTCCACGTATCCAAGTAACTATTGACTATTTTCTATAAATGGGCTGATCTTGTACAGTGGAACAATCTGCTTGGCCGTTCAAATACTTTTAGAATTAATGTTTTTGCTATAAAGCCTGAGCCTAGGTTGGTTGTGCAACATTCAGAGGTCATGAGCGCTAACACTGTTCGACCACTGGACGCTGTTCTCAGCTTGAGCCTAATCTTCAGATTAATCTCCGTTAGACTCTTGATCGAAATTTGCGTTGAGGATCACAAGGGATCCCACACTGTTCAGTGCATATTCTGCTTGTTGGCGTAAGGAACCAATTCAAAATGACGTTAAATTTGCGATCCACTGGTGTGATTCAAAAAAAGCTATAAAAGTTCAGATTCTGATCAATAAAATTCATCGAAAATGGTAAAAGGAGAGCTTTATTACAACTTGAAGAAGGGTAATCAGTTTGTAAATTGTGAAGGACAGTGGATTCGTCGTGGTTCTTACCGTCGACTCCAGTTCAAATACGACCACACGAGGCACGCACATTTTCCCATCTTGTAATCTCTTTAAGAGAGAGATGCCTCTCACTGTTGTTGTCGATCCGTTTCTTCTCAGTTGTGTATTTCGCTGTTGTTGTCAAAGATCCAAATTACAAAGTTGACTTTGTGTGCTTGTCCCGCTTCGTTTCAAAAAATGTAATCCCACCGTTCTGTGAGTAGTGTACGAAGTTCTCGGCAAAATAGTAAAGAACGTTACCCTTCATACATGAGACCAATGTTTTTGCAGTGAAAGCCTCAAACTTAACGATTGAAATTTTCGCGACGATACCTATTTTCGATAAGTGTTATATGAAAGAAGAGAGAATTACTTGAGAACGCGAAGACTTAACAGTCTTATAAAAGAGAATTCACCTTTTCTCTGTAGGTTGTGTGTAGTTTTTTGAGCGTATTATTTTTCCTTTAAAACTTTGTTGAACATGTCGGAGATGTGTAAAATTATGAGCAACTAAAAACGAAGTCACTAAAGGCAGTCCGAACGTGAACGATGAGAGTAAGCCAGTTTAACGTGAGATGGTTGAGCATGTAGGTATATAAATTGCAAAATTTAATTCACGAAAAGATATACATGGTATGCGGGAAGGCTATGCACCACTGCTAATTTGAGGTATAATTCGTTGTGGTATCTACGGTTTCAATAATCCATACAAAAATCACGATCACGAAAGTACTTACTTTATTGATTAACACCCATCTGTATTGTTTCAATACCAGAATCCACTACATTCCTGGTATCAAACTAGTTGCATACACAAGGGCGGCGACTGCCTGTGGTGGTGAGGTAGACCAGGTTGACATCTTCTGAACTGCAGAGAGCAGCAGTGGCTAAACCAGCAAAACTCCGAAAAACATGGAAATTATACTGGAGCTCGCACAACCAGTGAAGACAGGCGATCCAAGTATCTAAGTAAGTAATAGCCATCTGACCACTGTCGCATATATCGTTAGAGATCTAGTCATACTCGTTCAAACTATGCTTTCAGATCATCTGTGTCGTTAAGTTTTCAGGAGGAAACTTATTTCAACAAATACTTGGTACTTCATACTTGAATGGCCTGTCGTCACTAGGTGTGCGGGTCTCAGCGTAGTCTCTATTTATCGGAGATTTGCTGGTTAAACCATTATGGTTCCCTGGAGTGCCGAGGTCAGCCTGACCAAAGTCTGCCCCAGGTCTTTACCACCACAGGCAGTCGCCGCGCATGTGGGTCGGAGGGAGATTTGCCACCATGCGACTTTGATACCAGGACGGTGATGGTTCTTGGTATTGGTTTACTCCTACCTAAGCTTCCTGATGAAAACGCTGGACTATTCAGTTTGGGAGACCTTACCAGATGATGAATCCCCCGCTGTACATGGCAGCCCGACACCCAGGAGCACCTCTAAGCCGCAATGAAGCGGTAAACCGTTGGGAGGATTTCAGAAATTGTGTTTTGCAAAACTGAATATAAAAGCACCATATTATATGGGGGTGACCAACGTTATGAAGTTAGTACTTTTCCATTTATTTTCATCAATACAACTGTAATTCACTATGTTTTTTAAAAAATTCAATGCTTTGCATGTTTAGATGACACAGTGGTGCATTTCAACCGGTTAGTACTTTGCGAGGTGACTGCGAACGTAATGAGCACCTGCTTCAAGATTCTTGGAATTCGAGAAGTTCCTCGAATGTGATCAATACCTCCTAACCAAGCCTATACATGAACTTTTCGAACGCCAGCGATTTTCGTAAATCGCTGTGTTTCGAATACCATATCGCCGATATTACCGTTTCTGTTTATATGCGTATTTCTGGTTTTTGCTCACCATAGCAGGTTATTTCTATTTAGGAAGTGTTTTCCGATGCCTCATTCCGCCTGAAGCAATTCGTCTGTTTACAGTCGCTATTTTTAAATTCTTTTATGCGTTTATTTCTTAACATTGTTGTTTCAAATAATTGTTAGGTTTTCTCTGTAAAAATAAATCATGGTTACTCAAATCACCAAAAGTAATGTGTATTAGAACCGACATGGCATTATCCATCGCGTACTGGTTGCTATTTGCTTTGAGCTACTTAATACATGGATTCTGACGCCCCAGTCCGTGTAGCTGTTACATATATTTGACCTCAACGATCTCGTAATGAGTTAATATCAACTCATGCTATATTTCACAAAGCGTTCTATCCCCCAGGGGTAGGGAAATTGGTACCAGACTTGTCTGGGAGGATAGTAGCTCTGGCTTGATACATGGGGAGGCCAATGCGAGTCATTGTAAAGGTCTGATCAACGTCTAGAGCTTTATCCTTTTATTCTTTATGCACATCGTGTAGTTCGTTTTCTCTATTGAAGTCGTAGGTAATTTCGGTGTTTTTTCTCGTTTTCTACGTATTTCATGTCCTGTAAGATGTTCTTTGTATCGTCCTATGTTTTCCGAAAATTTTGGAATTTTGGTGAAGGAAAAGTTGTCCGCAGTGCAACCACGGTGATCTCAGCATTTAGCTTCTTGCCCTAAATATCTCCGCTGGTTGCGATTTATCGAGACGTTTGTACTGCACTAGAAGCATGAGTTGTTTTGTGAGTCCGCAGAGCTCTAAGAGAATGTTGTCCGTGGCGGCTGTATTACGTTCATTTGCGCTGATTGGGGGTGGGGGACACAGCGGCACAGAAATTGACAAGATCGCAAGATCCCTTCATCGCTATGGTGGTTCTATACTATCTTCACAACGACCACCTTGTTTTTTTCTATAAGCAACCTAGGAAGCGTTTTAGTGCAGTTCTTATCTTACTGGCTTTCAAATTATTTACAATGAAGGGGGGATGAAATGTGGAAACAAATCACGTTGGCTCAAATATACTACTCATCACCCACTCAGGGGCCTCTGTGGAGGATATAGTATACGAGCAAGCAACGTGCTGGAGCCGAAGCATTTTTAGGAAGGCTAATCCGATTCATAAGCTGTAACTGTCTTCAGATGAAAATATGAAATATTTCATATTCCTGTATGTACGAAAGCATTATAAGCAATGTTCGATACCTCCACAGCTATCTTAAAGATTCATTCTAATTATCAACTATCATCAAGTTTCTCCATATTCATGGTGCATCTTTCAGAGATTAATCAACGCCGGGAGATAATAATTATGTTGACATATTTGCAAAACTCCGGACCGCTGCTGTCTGGTTCGGTGGGGACCGAACACTATTACCTTCATTGGGGTCTAGCGCGTTCAACACCGCACCATGCGAGTTTTGCAAATATCTCAGCATCATTATGCTGTAGCCATTCTTATTGTTGTTGTTCTACGGGGGACCTTTCGATGACTTCGCCTTCCCCAGAGCCGTGCTATTGGACCACCCGTGTGTTGTTCAAGTGGGATGAAGATGACATTATGTTATAACCCTCAGCAAAAATCTTGTTGCAAATGAAGATTTGTGAAGAAAGTCCATGAATAAACAAAGATGCGTCTCCAAAACTATGATTTATTGGCGGATAACGTAACAATAAACAGTCAAGAAATAACAATCAGTACAACAAGAAGTGCTCAATGGCTAAAACAAAACAACAAAAGTGTTCATCTTAATTAGGATACAAATTGCTTAGCAAGGCTATAGAAAACGATTACAATTAGAATGAGACATCTTGTAACTCCTTCTTGCTTAGTCGACCCTTTTTCAGTTTCCGTAATAATTTCACGTCACTGTCAAAATCATCCTTTCCTTCAAACTCCTCTCGTTTTCTTTTCAGAGCCTTCGACTTCTAAACTGTATCTATTATAGAAGAACTGTCCCCAATTTCAATGTTTCCTGGTTAGCTCCAATATAAATTTGTGAGTTTTGTGCACCACTTACACGAATGCATGTAATTAACAGACTCGCGATGACAAGACTCACAAATCATACCATACGTGCTTCCCCGGTGTAAACCATATGTGTGTTACTAAATGGTTCCATTTTTCCGATGAAACGCTCTGAATTATCTTTTGTTACATACATACATGGTGCTGTACCACGTGTAAGCCCAGAAAAGCCACTCTTTACTCCAATTCTCTGCGGTGGAGGTGTTACGAGCGGTAGTCGTTGTACCGCGCAGCCGCTCATGGTGATTAGCTGTGACGGACATGATGGTTTTCCAAGAATGGACGTAGTTTCGCGATAACTAGAGGACATGAGAGGTTGACAACATGACCGAATTATGGAAGAGATTTCGTTATATCGATCTAGGGATATGCATGATATTTACACCATTACTTATTACATGTTCCCATGCTCTATCATGCAGGTACATTGCTTTCATCATTTGGAATTGTACTGCAACTTGTTTTTAACATAAATCTGTATTTTTTATACTGGTCCACTGAATACCATTACTGTCATTCATTACAGTGATTTAAACTGAACAGTCAACTGCCAGTCAAATTACTGAGAATAGCTCTTTGTATGCTTCTAAGTGGAGAACAGAACTTTTCCCGCCGATAAATGCCAAAAGTATGTGTTGGGTGATGCACCGATTAATTACAGCAAGTGTAGGAAATGGTAACGGCTACAATTTCCCCTCCCTAGGACTGCTGTAGAAGTCACGTGGTTGAGAATGTGTCAATTACATCGTGTGTGCTCTTGGAAGTGAGGCACGCCTCCGAAAACACTCATAAATTCTGGTATCATCAAAAACAAAAATAGCTTCGATAACCTTGCTTTGTCTTACTGCCCACTTATTTCACATCAAACAAGTCCTTGTAAACGAATACCAAAACTAAAGTGCTTGGCGCTGAAGGTAAAAAACCAGGTTGAAAATTACCTTGTTTTCGTTACTAGACCTTGCCACGGCATTCTTTTTAAATCCTTTCTCAGCAGACCTTTTATTGATAGTTTTCTTGGCCTTCTCCTTCATCGCCTTGACCTTCCTTTCGTGCTTATAGGACATAATCTTAATGTCTCATGTCAACCTCACTGAATTTAGCAAATATTTAACAACGACAGGAAAACAAGTACCTCTACCCGTTTCTTCTCTAACGTGGGATTTGCATATTTTATTGTTGACGTGTCAATATCACTCCGCTTAAACTTTTCCAAGTCTTTACGCCCACTTAGCTCCCTCATTTTTGGAAGTCGAAGCAGTCCATAAGCGTGCGCTAGTCCAGGTACATCGAGATCTACAACAAACGTACTATCATGGATTTGTAAACAACTCATGTGAAAGAATAGCATACCTTTCAAACCACAAACAATATTGCAATCGTGTTTTACATAACTTTCTATGTGGCAGACGAACGCTCGAGTACCAGCTTCGAGAATTTCACTGAAATTAAACCCTTCTCTGAATTAAAAATACACTGTCAAAGCTAAGTTCCAACCGATCGGAGCATAGGATCTTGATTATCTTTTCGCGAAGTTGTTGTGCTTTGACGGCACTGCTGGTTGGCACAGATATCTGCTTCAGCTCCACCTAGTGTACAAATTAGACAACATAGTAATTTAAAAATCAGAATAGGGAAAGGGTTTACATCGTTCCCTAGAATTGGACACATTTTTAGCTATTTTAACTGTCACGAATTTGAGCCGAAGTAAGCGAATTACTCAAATGGATGATTGGTTCCTCCGTACAAACCCACCAAGTATATTTAAAAAAGTAAATGCGTAATACCTGTTCATGTTTGGATAGGTAGCTAGGATAAGCAGATTGCTCAGTGGAAAGTATAAGTAAGGCATTTCCCTCACGACCGCACCGTGCTGTACGACCAGAACGATGGACAAACCAACTAGAATAAGGACAGGATTTAGATTTAACTATGCAAGAACACAAAAAAATTACACCTTGACAATTTGGGTATTTCAAATTGAATGACCCAATCTATGTCCTTAACGTCAATACCACGCGACATCACATCGGTTGACAACATTACTGCATTGTTGCTTTTGCAAAACTGATCGATCTACAAGGTGCTGATGAAGAAATATGGTAATATGGTAAAGTAGTAAGAACAAATATCACCTGTTTAGACCGTTCGCTTGGAGAGTTGTGTCCGTGGATAGCACATAAAGGGCGTTTCGTAAGCACCCTCGTTAAAACCTATAGAAAAAATTTGTTTCATACTCCTACGCCTAATGGGATAACCCAGCATCTACATCAACTAAATTCGAAATTAAAGATACTTATACGAGACATTACCATATAAAAATACTTTACCCCACCACAGGAGGGTAGGAAAACCAGAAATTTCTTGTCAGGTTTATTACGAATAAATTCAACCAAGCAGATCAGCTTCTCCTCTGTTTGACATACCTGAAAGCAAACGTTAGAAAATCAATGGCTAAAACGAGAAAGGTATATAAAGCATACAGTATAAAAATTGTTGAGAGTCGATGGAGAAACAAGGTTGGCAGACTCTTTGATTTTGATGAAAGCTTTGTTTCGTAGCCCAAACATCAAGAAGTCCGTTAACTCCTTCGCTTGGGTAGCTGAGAAAAGTCCCGTGCGTCGTTGTTTTGGTAATGCCAATAGTATCTCCTTCAAACTACATAGAGACATTAATTATTCAAGAACAAAAATGAAGCCCATAGATTAGAAGAAATGATGAATTTTCACTGAAGAAAAACACATTTGATCTAGAAATAGACTTGTAAAGCAATTAAAATGAAGCAGAAGACGACCGAGTAGATAAAAGTGGCATTAGTTTGTTAAGAGCGGGACCATAGTTACCCTCGTATAAATTCGGTAAGGTAATTTCTTCCACAAAACTCACATGGTAGTTCACTATCAAACACACTTTCACTTTGTTTGTGAAATCATATCTATGATGAACAGGTCGACGAAATCACCGTTCATCCCAAAAGACTGGAAAGGAGTACAAGTCTATCTTTTTTGAACACTTCATTGACATTCTTTGTAAACAACTGCTCTCTTCCTCCTACGCGACCACAGTTCCAAGTTCTTACCTATTTCGTTGATTTCTCCACCTAGTTGAAGCATGCAATGACCATTAGGAATAACATTTCGGCTGAAGCAGGTGAAAAATGTGCCGCATACAATTTTTCCTCTTTATATGAGACCTTTCCAATTTTCAGCATACGAGCACTTTTTGATAAATTTCCTAAATAGCTCTGTAGTAAAAGTAACTGGTACTCTTTCGCTTTCCTTGGAGCTTTCCTCTTTGCATTAATTTCTTACAAAACAATGATTTCTACGATTCCTACGATATAAGGTGTGATGGCGGCTTTTTTCATTTGTTGATGACTTCGTCAACAGCTATGAGGACTTTCTGCAAGTTTTCGGATCTACCTACAGTGGCGTCGAAGACAACTACATTACATTTGTAATATCTTTTCAATTTCCTCAATTAGAGAGATTCTACGTTGTAATAGTCAAATATTGTAATGCTTGAACGTTTAAATTGCCAACAACGATCGCTCCTGTTACGAACTTCAACTGCGACTAATGAGCAGTAAAGCGATTACAGTCGTATTAAAGGAAACCATGAACGTGCCTAGCTCTTTACTTTCACAGAAACCGGAAGACTTTTACTTTGTTTCGTATAGAGTATGTAGCGGTGCTCTATTGCGATTCACAATGATTTTTTTTTGCTGTAGTAACAGTGAACTTGGTGTTCTCCGTTTGAAAGATACAACATACAATGGTTTACTACTTCGGCGCCGCACAACGCGTGGATGACCGTCCTAGGGGGTGCCTGCTCTTCTCTAGACTCTCATCTGCATTTTCTCCAATCCTCGTGGATTCCACTCTATAGTTCGTTTCCCCATTTATTGTCCATTTTTCTCATTATGTGACCGCCCCATTTATATTTCGCTATCGATGTATATTCTCTTAGATCCCGAAGATGTGACAGTTTTCGAAGGTCAGAGCTCTGCATTCCGGCTAGATATTGAGAGTGCCGGTTATATTTCAGAAGACCGTTCAAGCACTCTGTGAGTAGTGCGAAGCACTCTTGACGTGGTTCAAGTATCAACTCACGTCTCTGCAGCAAAACAGAGCGCTTGGAGGACCGTAGAATCGAAAATATGAGCAATGCGGCCCAAGCTGCTCTGCTTCTTCTATCTAGTTCCTCCTTCATGCTCTTTTCCATGTTCATTGATCGCCCAAGGCATATGTACGAGATGTTCTCTGCAATCAGAGAGCTATCCACTTCAATTTTGTGCCTTCGCATTATGGGTTTTTTATGAGCTTTGGATTTATGAATAATCCTATCATTTTCCCGCTCCTTGAGCTCACTGTTCACCGCCTCTACTTTGCTGGTACCCCTTGAGAAGATGATGTCGTTGGCAAAACGAAGCTTTGATAGGAATTTTCCATCCATACATATGCCTTTCTCATCCAAATCGAGCGACAAATTCAACGAAGTCGTATAGAAACTGCAGCGTTATACTGACATAACCAGCAGGAAAGGTTCAATACACCTGAACGATGATGCTCGAGCACATACTGCGCAACTAATGCTGCAAAAATTGCACAAGTTGGGCTACGAAACATGGTCTCAGTCATTACGTCAATCGGAACTCTCGCTAGTCAAGTGCTACTTCTTAGTAATGTGGACAACCACTTCGTGAAAAATTTTTACCAACCAAAAAGTTACTGAAAATGTCTGTGAAGAATTCCTCATAACCACAGCATCAGAAATTTAAGCTGCCAAGAAGAAACTTCCGCACTTTGTTGACAAAAATGTGCAAATTCCAGTGGCTTCTATTTTGGTTAATAAACTTGTATTCGAGTCCATTAAAGCATTTCAAATTTACCGCTCACAATCTTATTACTTTCTATCCACCTAGTAACTAACCCTGATCATTCAAATGTTGGACGTTCGTGGGATTGTTCGGTCGCTCAGAGGTCTGTGTTATAAAACACAATCGAATTTCCCAAATAGCCGTTAAAGAAGCACATACTCACTGTACTTCGAACTGAGATTCATTGAATCGATCCGCTTCGTCTACAATGAGTACCTCAACAGATTTTAAAGACCGCTGCAAATTTCCACTTTTGTCTATGGATAGAAGCTGGAACAAACGACCTGGAGTCGCAATCAGGATATTCCCCCTGCAAAAAAGCAAGTTTGGAAAAGAATTGGAAATACCACAAAACCAAAATAACGCACCCATTTTTCAGCTTTTTCAAATTCTTCTCTAGCTTTATCCCACCCACAGTGACCACGATCGAGTAATTCAATCTTGTCGCAAAGGGTGTAGCCACCTAAAACAGAACAACAATAAGCACACAGCACAACAAAGGACAGAGCACACTAACCGCTGCAATCTGCATTGAGAGCTCACGAGAAGGAGACAGGATTACTGCTCCAAATTGATGTTTTGCCAACTGAATAAAAAACTATCAGTGTTAACTTATGAAGCAACTGCATTTTAACTATAAAGATGTCGAGATATTTGCAAAACTGTGGACCGCTGGTGTACGCAGTAAGGGGTGAACTGGGTTCAATGGCGATTTGTGCTCTCCAGATCAATTCCGTTGACAGATGATTGCTGATAGCACCTATAGGTCTATAACACGGCTGAGAAAAAACCAAAACGAAAGACTCGCATGGTTTGGTGGTGAACGCGCTAGCCCGGAAAGGGTAATAGCGTGTTCGGTTCCCACCGTAGACACCAGAGGTCCGGAGTTTTACAAATGTCTCAACATCATTGTGGTTATACTTCACATAATACCCTGCCATTAAGAAATATTAGTCAGTAAATAAAAAGTGACGAAACTGCATTTTAATTCAGTAATTAGAAGCATTACATTGTTTACGATTCCATAATCTGAATTAATTTTAATTCCGACAGAAAACAACCAGGGCCTTGATAAAATCCATAAACTTTACAAAATTTGTGCTCCTTCTAATAGTGGGAAAGCATGACTCAGAAAAATGGTTTTTCAACCGTGTAATCCTATATCTAAGACAGTAAGATTGACTCTACCACGCTTTTTGCAGTCATTACAGACATTATTTCAGGAAAAAAATCGATAAATCCAGGGAACTTTTACAACTGAACAATTCTGGGATTAAACAACTTCAATCAAATGATAATATAAGTAGACCTACCGCTGCACTTCTTTTAAGAATAGTGAAAAGTGGCAAAAGATAGGCAAGTGTTTTCCCAGATCCAGTTGGAGATTCTACGACGACATCATGATGGCTGAGTAATTCGCGACCAGTTCGAACCTAAAGTTCCACAGTGGGTCCAACGATCTCAACCGATGTAGTTTGTATTCCTAAATCTAAATTCCACTGTGATGTGTAGTCGGCTAAGCAACGAAGGAGAAGAGATAGAAGACGACAACGTACAAAGTATGCGTATCTATCAAGCAACTAAGCACTCGCATTAATTACCACAGAGAAAACAAAGACAAAAAAGAAAGATAGGAAGAAGCTTAGAAGACTCAGTGATACTCTGTAAGTACTGACTCCTCAGTGACCTTTGAAGAACAACCATTTCCCTATAGCAACTCGACAAACTCTTTCACACTACTACCGGACACCTCTCAGTTAGCGCAAACGTTGCTCTGCTTACAAAGCTGCACGGCGCGAGGTTATTGATCGAGGAACGGGGCAATTTCCCCTCAATATTCTCGTGGATGTACTAGTTCTCAGGCGAAAAGCCTGGGACACCACATTTTCTAGAGTCCACAATCGGCCTAGTTGTCTCTTCTTCCAATACACTGGATATCCATAATGACATATGACAAACACCGTAGCTGGGGAGACTATTACTACCAAAGAAAGCGACCATCCAGACAGACAGCGTGGTTACTCGAAGCTCTCCACTTCATCAATCAATCCATTCCAACATTTAACGAACTTTTTGACGAGGTAACTCTATCATCAATTCATTCTTATATCTCATACGTCTCATCACGACTGTTCCAGGAGACCTTTTATGTATTCGCATTTCTCGTCGTGGTGTTCGCGATACTCACCGCTATATTCTTGTCAAAGGTGGTGGGAATTACGATAAAGGAACACAATATCAGCGTCGATCGAGACTGGGGACGACCAGAACTAGCGAATCCTTTCAGATTTCCATGGAAAATGAAGAAGCATAAATAAAGTGTACGAATCCGGTGTTCTTTTCCAACAATGGAATGGAAGGCATATTAGTCCACAAAAATAGAAATGCTCAACATAGTGTATCCGTGACAATACACATGTGATGACCAATTTAGAAAGTGCGCAGCAATTTCAGTGCATTTCCCTCACGACTGTTTGTCATGGCTTCCTACTGAACCAACCGCAATCCAGAAAAAACAGAATTATTGCCTACACGTTACGATGCAGAATAAAAAAAGCTCCTGGAAGAATCTTGTTGTTGTAATGAATCCCGTATATCTGGAGTCCTGAGAAAATTGTGGTCTAGACTATGCCCACATAGACTGCAGAACGAGCCTTTTCCAGACAAGTCGTACCAATTTCTCGACCAAGGATGGTCTTGGTGAGCCTGGTATGGGGCGAACCAACACCATGCTCGTGATGATCAGCACCACTATCACAGCGCTATCCATCTCCAGGTATAAATAATTCGTTACAATGAGTCAATTATGTAGGCCCAGACAGAAGATATTGATCCACTATTGGGTGAAGGTAACCGGAAATCTAGGAGTATTGAGACACTGGAGCGTTTAAAGTTTTGCCAATGACGTCCAATTTTTTGCAACTGAAAAGCGGAACCACACATCACTAACACGATGAGTCCTATTTGACTAACACCAGAGGGAGCGGACATATTCAGACTTATGCAAGTTTTATCCATATACTGATTACTATCTCCTTTAAACATTAGAATGATCTAAAAGTACCGGAATGTACTTGAATATTGCAAAGTCGACAAATTTCAATGGCGTTGTGGTTGGATAACTGACGGGCCTTTTAACCATAAATAGGAGACGGGAACACTTCAGGAAGTTTGCAAGTGCACATATAAGAACATAGATAATGCTCGGTAAATAAAAAGCGTAGGAACAATCGAAGAGTCGCTCATTGTCTCATTTAATAACGTTGCAAAACCTTATTTTTGTTTTTCTGTTTTTCTATGACCCGTCTTCACGTCTTCTATGCGGATCCCAGCACTTCGCATATTCGATTCGTTTCCTCTCATCCATTGCCCACGAAAATCTTCTAACTCTTACGTGTGACTTCGGCTTTTGATTGAGTGTTTTCATTTCATACTGAATGTCGTAGAATGCTGGTTGAGCAATTCTCCCTGGAATCGTGAGATAGCCGGACTGGAATGCAAAGTGGTTTTTCCCCGGACAAGCTCAGCACCAATCTCCCGAAACCGGAGAGATTAGCGGTTCGGTTGGTCCGGAGCGGAATCGAATTACCATAATGCTCGTGATGACCAACATCACTACCACTGTGCTATGCGCTCCATATCATTGCAAATTACTTTTAAAAAACCTAAGATGTGACAATATAAAAAATGCAAGGCTCCTAGGGAAGTCATAACCAATCTTTCATTGTAGGTAGAAGATATAGTTCTCCGTCCACCAGTATCCGTCAATTATCATCGTATACTAAACAAAGGAATTCTTCGTATTTTTGTTGAGCAAAAGGGGGGGGGGTGTTATTACTCTTTATTCACGAATAAGCTGACGTTTCGACGGATTCCGCCTTCCTCAGAGCCTGGAAAGGTCAAGTTGATAGCAATCTACTCGGCCAGACGCCTCCATAACCAAACAAAGAAACTCTAAACCAAAATTTCAATCACATTGAACACAACTTTGCACACTCACGGCTTTCTATAAGGTTTACACTAAGTATGTCACGTAGAGACCAACCGCACAGAAATCACATGGAGGCATAATGCGCCCTCCCATCAGAATAGCAGTCTTATATACTGCCCTATATCACGCGTGATAATGAGGCATTCTTCCCTGTGGTTCATTTTCGGATTTTGCGCGCCAGTGTTCTTGATTCGCGTGCGAGGATCGTCTCCGTCTTGTACTTATAAAAACTCATAAGTTAGTATCCAGCGATGATCTCGCGTCTACCGATCCATCACTATTTAAGGTTAAACCTATCATTAGCCGCGTAGACGGGCCAACGGACAGGATAACATGGTTTTTATCCCTAATATTTAACCAGTTGTTGAAACATATTCCAGCCCATCTTACGAATACCCAGATGTTTCTGGATCGTCTACGTACTGCGCAACCCAACAGCGCGTGCGTGATGGAGTCCTTCGACGTTACCGCCCTTTATACAAACGTGTCGAATGACTCCGCAATGCAAGCCATATTCGAACACCTTACACAACACGAAGGAGAAATAAACATGTATGGCTTCAAGATAGAGCACTTGATGGCACTCTTAAAAGAATGCTTGAGCTGCTCAATCTTCAGATGGTCCGGAAAGTACTACGCTCAAATAAGAGGGTTGGCAATGGGACAACGACTGGCTCCAAGCCTTGCCATTGCATTTATGTCTAAGGTGGAAGCACCGGTGACTGATCTCGGGCCGCTACTCTACTGTAGGTATGTAGACGACTGCTTCGTCCTTTGCTCAACACAAGAGGAAATAGACAAATGTTTCGAATTGTTAAACGCACAGTCAGAGTATATCAAGTTCACCCGAGAAAAGCCGAAAGAAAAATGGCTTCCATTTTTGAACGTACAAATTCACCTATCAGAAAATGGCTACATTACGAAGTGGTACCGAAAGCCAAATAGTAAAAACATCTTGGTTCATTACCTCTCCTCTCACCCCTCTCACACGAAAAGGGCGCTTATAAGATACATGTTTCGAACAGCAACCAACGTGTGCACGGGAAGAGAGCAGAGAGAGGAGTCCCGGAACTTGGCAGTTTATCTGATCTCCTGTAAGGCGTGCGGAAACGAATACATTGGCGAAACGGGTAGACCACTCTGTGCCCGCATAAAGGAACACCTAGTCGGCAAACATAGACCAAATACTCCGCTAGGCAGGCATAGGACCCAGAGACATAACGGGGAGGACTTTGAAGTATGTGTCACGATCCTAGCACGCGAATCAAGAACACAGGCGCGAAAAACTCTCGAGGCATTCTGGATTAACTGCAGAAATACGAAAATGAACAGGAGGGAAGAATGCCTCATTATCACGCGTGATATAGAGCAGTATATAAGACTGCTATTCTGATGGGAGGAGCACATTATGCTCCCATGTGATTTCTGTGCGGTTGGTCTCTACTTGACATACTTAGTGTAAACCTTATAGAAAGCGGTGAGTGTGCAAAGCTGTGTTCAATGTGATTGAAATCTTGGTTTAGAGTTTCTTTATTTGGTTATGGAGGCGTCTGGCCGAGTAGATTGCTATCAACTTGACCTTTCCAGGCTCTGAGGAAGGCGGAATCCGTCGAAACGTCAGCTTATTCGTGAATAAAGAATAATAACACCCCCCTTTTACTCTATAAAAATACGAAGAATTACTTGATCAATGCCGAGTTTAATAAAAAGTCGGTCGTGGGAGTTACTAAACAAAGGTTTGTGTGATTCTTTTGCAATCCTAGGACAAGAAACAAATGCGGGTCATGCAGGCACATTATGCCCAAGTTATGGACGTATGATTTCTCGAGGAATATTTCTATGGATAGTGAATAATGATAAGCGCCGTACTGTACAAGTTGCTCATGGATCTCGTCAGTAAACGACTCTTAACCCCAGAATGTTGAACACAACACAACAGTGGGTGGGGTGCTCAGGCCATGAAAGTACAGCATGTCAAGAAAAGGAGCAACACCTTAGGATAAAAGTAGACCAAAATCTTTGGAGTCAATACAGATAGCTTTGAATCACAATTTCAGAACCAAATTTGTAAGCAAAAATCACTAGGGAAGGGTACGCAGTACTTGGAATGAGAGTGTTAAACCTGTAAGAAAAAGTAAAGTAATCAAGTGCTTGGCAATACACTCATACGTAGAGCTCTAAAAACGGATCAGAGGGAGAGAAGATGAAATGAAAAAAGTTAGGGAAAAAATTGGTCAAAGGAAACGATCTAAAAAATTACCTGGACTTCCGTAAAATCTTCGTAGCTTCCACGAAAAACCTCCAAGACTTCAGCATCAAGCAATTCCGAAAACGACGACGTTTCGGGTGAATTTGGTGCCATCTAAAACAATTTCCCTCTCCACACAACCAATTAATTAAAGCAAAACATCTGACAGAAGAACAAAAATCCGCCCTCGTCGTATAGCAGCATGTGGAGTCCGCAAGCTCGACTACCGCAGTTTGGGCTTAACTTAGGCCCAATCGTCTAGTTATTTTGCATCCTGATGTGATCCGTGAGCTTGGCGATATTCTCAATACTTTAACTTTCCCGTATTAACACAATATCCAAGCCTCAAGTTTCTTGTCCCTGAACTGTCCGTCGCTGTCGACATTTTTCTAGTAGTGTAATAGGCCTGCTACATTCAAACTCGCTCGGTCCTGGGATACTCGCCTTTGTCGAGGACCTCTCGTTTTTTCGGGGACATCTGCATCACTTCACTTGTCGAGATTGTATTCATAATGAACCCCTTTCGAAGCCTAGCAAGTGGTCATAAATGTACATCATAGTTGTTAAAGGCATTCAACTGTAGCGTCTAATTTTCTGTGTCGAAAAAGGGATTGATCAACGCCAAGAGTTTGTCTTTTACTTTTATAACGTTCAAAACGTGAATTCTGAAAACGGTTTAACTTTTTAAGGAACCCTTACTTATATTTACCATCAATCCATCGTAATCGATCTTCACTTCTCCACTTCTCATCATCCCGTCATAGTCATTCTTCATTGCTCCAACCTCTTATCAATCCATCATAATTGGCCTTCACTTCTCAAACCTGTATCATTTGAACACTTTTAACACATTGACGGCGAAGTGACCCAAATGAGACTCACACCTGTTCAGTGGTTCACAGAATTCTTTTTAGCGCGCTTTCTTGTATTCTACCCGTAGATTTTCAAACGTGGATTCAGTATCAGGAGTGGCTTATAGGAAATTGTTCTCTGTACCTAGTAATTTACAAAAAACCTCTTTCGAACTTTTTCTGGCCTGCGTGAAATTGACGGTGGGCGTCAACGTGTTAAGAGACTTCATTGTACTTGCAAGGACACGTCGTTTTCGTCTCGTTGTGTTGATCATGTGCGTTCCTTTTCCCTAGTAATGACTGCGGAATCATGGGGTTTGTGCGGCTGTAATGGAGCTCTGGCACCGGACGGTCCTCGCAACGCTCCATCCGTACAGGATTCGAGCCTGTTCGGATGCTCGGTTCGTTCTCGTTTCCAGTCTCTTTGCAAGGTTTTGCGATGTGGTGTGATGCCAAGCTTCTGTGACTTGATGCCTGGTTCTTTTCCTACCTCATTTTTGATTTTTCGTTTTTGCTCTGAAATAGCAGCGGTTTTTTGCCGTTCTGTTTAACGCCTGTGCAGTGTAATATTCAATGTTGCCCAGTATCAGCTACTCTTTTTCATTTCCACATACCATAGTGCATTTTTGTTTGCAATCGTCGTCACCTGTCTCCCTCGATCTCTTCATTCTCTTCAGCAAAATCATCCCGGGACCGATGCTCCTCATATGTCAGAGGCTGTCATTTGCAGAACGCCGGTGCTTCAGAGCTAGTGTTTACGACTTATGCCGGTAATTGAATCACGTCCTTGAACTCATATTCAAGCCGTAGTTTGCCTTAGCGTCTTCCATGCCAAAGGATCTAAACGTCATTATTAAATATTATTGTATGAATGTGTCGTTTTCTTGTTCAGCAATCGCGAGGTTTTTAAACAGCATACATTTACTTCCATAAAAACACAATACAATACAACGCTAGCTGACGTTTCGGCAGTATCGCCTTCTTCAGAGCTGGAAGGGTATGCTGATATACAATCTACTAGGCCAAACGCTTCAATAACACTTACACAAAGGCGAAAGACTCTTTGGTAATTACACGATCAACAACTTCAACAATATCCTTCCACAGGAGTCCAAAACACCAGCGCGAAAACTCCTAGAGGCTTTTTGGATCAATGCCGAAAACCCTACAATGAATAGCAGGGACGAATGCCCGGAGGTCATACGCGACCTGATCCCGTACGTTCGCATCGATTTTTGATATGGGATGGTGCAGTCGTCAACCACATGCGACTACAATCAGCTGTTCTAACCTTCCTCATTGGAAGTCACGAATAAGCGGTGGGTTTTTCGAGAAGTTGTTGATCGTGTAATTACCAAAGAGTCTTTCGTCTTTGTGTAAGTGTTATTGAAGCGTTTGGCCTAGTAGATTGTATATCAGCATACCCTTCCAGGCTCTGAAGAAGGCGATACTGCCGAAACGTCAGCTAGCGTTGTATCGTATTGTGTTTTTATGGAAGTAAATGTATGCTGTTTAAAAACCTTGCGATTGCTGAACGAGAAAACGACGCATTCATATTCCAATGCCGAGGTTAAGAGAAAGTCGATCCTGGGAATTATTGTATGACGAAATATCACATCTATCACACTGTACATATCTCAGCTCGTCTTGCTTCCGATTTGTTTTCTTGCACCTACCATCCACAAAGGTCATCGAGCTTTTTTTGTGTGTACGTTCGGCTGCCGCATGAGGAGTTTTTAAATCTGGTATCTGTTTTTCTCGTTCCCAGGATAGTGAGAGGTTTGGTGCACATCGACGGTGTCGAGCCAGCTCCTGGGTAGGTTGAGCTAACCGTGTGATGAATGGGGTGACTACCACTGCGCTACTCGCTCCTTATTTAAAAATAAATTTAATACATATATGTCGAAGTGTGACTTTTACACACTTCGATTTCGATCTTCTAGGTACTGTGTTGATGTGTCTTTCAAATCACTTCTGCTTTTCTTCATGTCGTGTTCCATTATAAATTTTTTTAAATCCCTATGTGATATGATAATTCGAGCGGTAGATCATTTCGTCCAAAGTATGCGTCTTCAGAAAGAAGCGTTCTTGGGAACTATGAGGCTTCTGCAAAATGTTCACTTGGTTAAATCAAATACATGTTCAATTTTTTGATAAATTTGCACCTACGAAATTCTGAGTACGGCCAATTTGAATCCAGAAGCGCTAGGTCCAGACAGGATAAGATCTGAATACTTGAAGAACTTTCCATCACTCTTCATAAACACACTGGCTCGACTGTTCACACGTTACCTGTCTGAATGCAAGATCCCTACTCAGTGGAAGACTAGCATGACCGTGCATGTTCAAGAAGGGTGACCTCCACGATATCGACAACTATCGCCCAATCTGCTTGTTGTCTGTCATCTACGAGCTTTTCACTCGAGTCATCCTAATCAGGTCTGACAGAAAACTGGAAGAAGGACAACCATGTGAGCAAGCAGGGTTTTGGAAAGGATTCAGTACGATGGACCACATCCACACGATAACATGGTTCACTGAAGTATCGCGGGAGTACAAAGGACCGTTATATCCCACTTTCATCGATTTAAAGGAGGCCTTTGACTCAACTGGGATAGAAGCCTTGGCCAGTCAGAGAGTCCCCACTCAGACGATATTAACGTCGTCATCCAAAGAGAGGTTAGGCGATACCATCTTGCTAAAATTATTTACCCACATCCTCAAGAACTTCATGCGAACATTGGAATGGGACAACATGGGAGTGAAAATCGATGGTCGGCAATTACATCATTTTCGCTTTGCTGATGGCATCCTTATAACATCAAACATTAGCTGAGCGGAACGAATGCTTGCCGACTTTGATAAGGCATGTGGAAAAATTGGTCTTCGACTAAGTTTCACAAGAACGATGTTTATGAGGAAGGCGTTGGTTACGTATGCATTATTCAAGCTCAACGGAACGAATGTCTCCGAATGCTCCAATTTCGTCTATTTAGGTCTGGAAATGAGGAACGACAATCGATGGACATGAGCCGTTAGTGTTTGGATTCCTTGGGATGTCAAACGTACTGAAAGAAGACCACCAACCCGATGGTTAGAGTTCTTCACCAAAAGCCTAGAAGAAAGGTATGATGCTCAACGTGTCCCTAGAGCGAGCAGAACCCACTGGGCTACTCTTGCACGAGACAGGGAAAAGTGGAAGATTTACTGGCATCGGCTCGAGTACCACTTGACGATTAACGGGACTGGCGATTGTGGGAGTGGCCAAGTACTCACATTTGTGTGAAGACGGGAAGTTGCATCGTTCTCCATTTCTAGATCTCTATTTGTCTCGACAACACTTTCTTGCTTATACGTTCTTCTTAGCAAAACAGAATTCAAAGAAATATTTAACTTCATATCTGCATTTTGCATAGGGTGTGTAGTGCAGTGGTTAGAGGGTCCTGCAATACACATGGGACGATCCCGTGTCCCATGCTCACCAAGTGTTCCCTCCTGGGTCGGCAAATTGGTAGTAGACCTGTTTGGGAGGAAAGCAGCACTGACTCATTACATCGATAGGCCACCGCCAGTCATTGTATAGGCTAGATGTGCATTCGGTCACCTCTAACGATGCTTATTGAAGTCAGATGCATGTTTCATCGCTCAGGGATTGGTTAACGCCGAGAGCTTTCTTTTATCCGCAGTTTGCCATACAGCCTAGGTTGAGTATCTGGCAGTGTCGTTTCATCCCACTTGTATAAGAATAAGGAATGAAGGCGACCATCTAAGAGCATCTTCTTCATCAAATTCCACTGTGCAAAGATGTTAGCCATCATTTGTTCCGCGTGAATGCTGTGGGGATTGATCACGAATCTTTTTCTATTGCGAGTTACTTACATCGCCGACATATCGAGACGCTGTTATACTGCGATCATATTCAACTCCGTGTGGCTGATAATGCTGTCGTGTGGAACTGAGGAGGCCTGTCAGTATAATTTCGCTTTTCCATCGTATCTTTCTTGTCTCTAACGTCATCTTTATAAAATGAGGTTTCGGTTGTGAGGTCATTGTGCAATATCTGGAGGCATTGTACTGTGAATATGAATTCCTTGCTTCTCACCCATCAGTTCTCATGTATCAATAACCGCTTCTGTTCTCATTGAAACTAAGGCATGTATTTTCTAAGCTAACAACTGTTACTCAAAGTCTTGGTATCTACTGCTTCTAGAGGATTCCAACGAGGAAACATCCTTCCTATTAAGTAATGCGTGCGGCGTTGGT